CCTCCCTAGGGCCTGTGTGTGTATCTAGGATCTGAGGGCTTCAAAGCTGGGTTGCTAGGGACATGCTGGCTTGTGGGGGGGCATTGCCTGGTAAACATTGCCTTGATCATTTTTGTTGTGTGACTTTGACCAAGTCCTTTACCTTCTCTAGACTTCTGGTCCCTCTTTTGGAAAACACAGGGAGGCTGGGCTAGCTGCTCTCTTCCTGCTGTGAGAGGAAGTCTTTGTAAACCCAGAGCTTGGTTAGGGGTCCCTTTCTGCCTACCCTGCAGGGTCTAGAAAAGTGGTTTCCAGGAGAAAAGGCAGACATGGAGCAATGTTCCTGTTAAAGAATCCCAGACTTCAGTGCTAAAAACCATGTTCATCTCTCTCTTCTACTCTCAAGTCTGTGCCTAAGTCTAAAACCCTGACCTCCTCTGGCCCTGCTGTAGGCCTCCAGGGCAGCAAGTTCTCTCTTCTAGCACATTCTGAACCACGCCTGTCTCTCTGCATACCTGTGAGGGCCCACTCTCCTTTGAGGCCACATGGGTCCATCTGCCTCTGCCATTCTCCTGAGGTCCAAGCAGAGGAGGGATGAAGTGAGACCATCCCCCCCTTTACCTAGACACTTAGTCACTCAATAAACGCTCAGGGAGGCTTGCTCTGGACCTAATCTTGGGTAGCTTGGTCAGTGGTGAACAAACCAAGCCTCAAATCTCCACCACTTTAAAAATTTTGAAATATTTTAAAGTCTTCAGAAGAATATAGCAAATTAAAAAATGAACTCCCATGTTCTTACCACCCAGCTTTGTCAGATACTAACACTGTGTTCCATTTATTTCATACTCTTTTTAAGAAATAATGTTAGAGAAACCGGAAGTCCCTCTGGAAACTCCTTCCCTCTCCAGAATTAATTGCCCTCCCAAATTTTGGTTTTATCATTTTCCTATTTTTTATTCTTTTCCTGAATGTGTGAAAGTCTTAAAAAAAAATGTAATCTGCTCTTACTTTGAAGTTTTTTTCTTTTTCTTTTTCTTTTTTTAATAAATGGCATCATACAACATGTGCCATTCTGTAGCTTGCTTTTTCTCGCTCAGTGTCAGGTTTCTGAGATTTGGCCTTCTTGATCCTGCAGCTTTGTCCCCCTTGCCCTGCTATGTGCTACACCACCCTGTGTAAAGACTCCCATCTCTTTATTTACTCTTCTTGTTGGACATTGAGGTGGTTCCCCATGTCTTGTTATTCAAACACACAGTATTCTTGTATGGCTGTCCTTTGCATGTATGTATTTATCTGGGAAGCCTCTAAGTAGTAGAATTGCCAGGTTATAGAGTATGCATTCAATCTTTTAAAGTTGCTTAGTTTTGTTAGTAAATCAGTACTGCCCCATAAAAGAGATGAACGTTTTCGGAGTACTTCCTATCGTGCTTTATGTGGTATGTCATTCTTCACAACAGCCTTGGGAGATAAGTACTGTCAAGGCCCATTTCATTGATGAGGAAACTGAGGCTCATAGAGGTTAGAGAACTTTCTCAGGCCATCCAGCAAGTAACTGTTGAGCTGCAGCTTGAGTCCAGGGTTGTCTGCTTTTAAAACTCTTGAAGGCCACACTGCAGTAAGGCATGCCACATGGTAGATTTATGTACCATTAAAGGGGACCCTTTGGAAAGAGAGTCTCAATCATATTTGCAATTTTGAATGATCACTTCAGAAGTGACGAGTCCCCATGGACTTGTACTCCACTCTCAGCCATCAATGGTGAAGCAGGGACTAAAAGTCACTTCTGGCTCCACTCTACTCCCTGAACAACTTTACTCTCCTGACCCACACCCACCTCACCCTGACTGAGGTTGAGGGTAGGAGACCTTTGCAACTGGGTCTTCCCCCTAACCTGCTCCTTGTTCTGACCATGGAGCACTAAGGTTGCAATGCAAGTAGACTACATAGGGAGGTGAGAGGGAAGGAGAGAGTAGGGTGGATCCAGGCTGCCTGACACCCCCTCCCACCCTCTAAATCCCTTTTACAGATCCCTCTTGTGAGTGGCATCTGAACAAGGGGAATAGCCACTCCTGTGCTGTGCCTAAGCCCCTTGCATTGGTCACCAACTTTGCTCCATGCTCCATGAAGCCCAGCACCTCCCTGGCAGGCCCTCCACCCGTGCTGAGAGGCTACCATAACCACAAGAATATATGTTGCCTGGGGTGTGCAGCAAAGTGCCCTGGAGCAGAAAGGGCTTGAAAACAAGGGGACAGCCGGTAGAGAAGTGGGGAGGAGTGTCGCAGCCAGAGCAAGGGAAATGTCTGGTGCTATTGCTTATGCAGAGAGCATTTGTCTTCTCCCAAGCTCCTGGGAGAAGCCAGACTCAATTCAGGCTCATGGTCTTCACTCCGTAATCTGTCAAATGCAGGTGAGAGTACTGCTGGTAGGAGGATTAAGCAAAATAATACAGCTGCCAATTTAGATAAAACAAGTGATTGAGTGATAGTCTCCTGGTGGGTAGGAGGGTAGTTGTTAATGCTTTTATTAAGTATAAGTGGGGCCCATGTATTCAACCTTCCTGGGCTCCCCAGCCAGCCCCACCTCACCTCTTCATCCAGCAGGCTTTCCAGAACCCGTCTTCCAATGCTTTCAGACTGTGCCTCTTGATTACAGTGTTGTGCCTCCAGCCCTCTACACACAGTTTACTCTTTTTGGCCTTCTTTCTCCATCTTGTCCTCATTTCACTGCCACCTGTTCCCGACAGCTTTCCTGAGTACCCCAGGCTGGGTTGGGGACCTCTGCAGGCCTAGTGATTCGCATGATCTTAGCCTGGATCACTATGACTGTCACTGTCTCTGCCTGCATATGTTGTTCCTGAAGACTGTGAGCGCCCCAAGGGCAGGCCTAGGTCTAGGCCCACTGAATGTCCCCAGCCCCAGGCTTTGTCCCGGGTGGGAGCTCAGTGGATGTTTGTAAGAAGGAAAGAAAGGAAGGAAGGAAAGAAGAGGCCCAGGACCTGCTCCCAGTCTAGAGGAGGTGGCCACAGACCTACCCAACTCCAGTTAAACTCCCCTCATGCTGGGGCCACGAGGGTTGCAAGTGTGTACCTCTGTACTGTCTTCTCTCAGGTTATTTTTCCAGGTAGACCAGTGGGGTAGAACCTCTCTTCTGTAGAGGCGGGAGGTGGACTGTGTGTGAGTGCAGAATTGGGAGGTAGACTCTTAGCTCTGGAATTGAGAGATGGACCTATGTTGTGGCAATGACTTGACTCCCTGAGGCTGAGCTGATGGGTACTAGCTCAGGCAGAAACTTGGGTTAGAATCCACATTTGGGCATTTGGCCTTAGCCAAGTCACTTTTCCTGGGCCTCATTTTCCTCATCTACAGTGGATATAATAATCCCATTTCACTGGGCATTTTGAGGATTTGAGGAGAGAGTGCCATTGAATACCCAGGGCAGTAGGTGCCCACAGCTTCTTCCCTGATTCTTCCAACAGAGATGAATGGGTTGAGCACCAGTCATTTGTCTGGGTCCTGGGCACAACGCAAGACAGGCATGTCCAGGCTCCTGAGGAGAGAGCTAGTGAAATGAGACCTAGCGATCTTTCAGCCTATAATCCCAGCATTTGGGAGCTGAGGCAGGAGCAGCTCAAGTTAGAAGCCAGGCTGGGCTACATAGCAAGACCAGTAAAACAAAACAAAACAAAACAATAACAACAACAAAACCTCCGCAAAACTTAACAGAGAATCAAAGAGATGGCAAATAAGCAAGTTAAGGCCTGGGTGCAGTGACTCACATCTGCAGTCCAAGCTGTGTGGGAGGTAGAGATCCAGAGGATCTCAGTTCTAAGCTAGACCCCCCCAAAAGAGGGGCATGACTCAAGTGATAGAGTTCTTGCTCAGCAAGTGGGGCTCTAAGTTCAAACCCCAGTACCATCAAAAAAAAAAAAATCAAGTTAAGGGACATGAAATACAGAATAAAAAAGTCAGAGAGAAGGGTAGGAGGGTGCAGGAGTTGAAGGCAGAGTTTTCTAACAGACTTGGGTAAAGATGATAGCAGCCTGCACAGAGGCCACTGGACACTGAAGCAAATGGGTTAGAGAGGTTTAGGAAGTAGAACTGACAGTATTCAGTGATGAGATGGGATGTGTCTAGGATGACCAACAGATTTCTGGCTTGAGAAACTGGGTAGAGCTGTTTCACTTACTAAAATGCCAAGACTGAAGGAGAACAGATTTAGGAGAATGAACATGAGTTTAGTTTTGAACAGGACACATGTTTTGATTTGCTTGGGAAGATCTGCTGATGTTATTATAGAGGAGGAGACATTGGAGCTGGGCCTCAAGGTATGTGTAGGAGTTTACTTGGTGGAAAAGAGACTTTCTCTTTACCAACTTTTGGGGAGCAAGGTTTCTCTTCAGTGAGATCAGTAAGCTGCTTTCTGGATCCTTCTCAAAGAAGAGGCATCCTGAAGGCCAAAAAATGGACAGGCCTTCTGGAATTTTTATTTCATCCTTGTTATTTATTTATTTTTTGGCAGTACTCAGGTTTGAACTCAGGGCTTTGTGCTTGCTAGGCAGATGAGCTATTGCTGGAGCTAGCAGTAGAGCCCTCATCCTCAATTTTTAAGTGGGAAAGATGAGACCAGAAAAGTCAGGGATCTGGGTTTCCTACCTTTAGACTCCATTCATTCATTTACCTCATGCAGTTATTAAAAGCCTTCTTAGTACCAGAGGCTAGGTACTGGGGATAGAGCAGTGATCGAAACAGAGGTTCTTGCTTTTTTAGAACCTTATATTTTAATGGAGGGAGACAAATAACAAACACAAAAATAAATTTAAAAAATCATACATCAGAGGATGATAAAAGCTATAGAGGAACATAGGAACTAGAAAGGGGTAGGATACGAGGGAGATGTCACTGGGAAGGTGACACTTTATGGACGGGTCTGAGCTTCTCTTATGGACCCCTGCCTCCCCACAGCCCATTGTGACAGTGTTGGTTCTAGAGCACAGGTCTGGAGCCTCAGGAGGCTCTCCTGAGCCTGGAAAAGGAGGAGCAAGAGAGGGACAGAAGTGGGATCTAGTGGGTGGGCTGTGCTCCCCCTGTTGAGGGTTGCGGGCAGCAAAGCCCAATGGGTCAGAAAAGCCACAAGGACTCCTTTTACCCTTGTGAGGGGTAAGATACATTTATTCCTAAGGCCTTCTTGTCCCCCCATCCTCAACCTCTCCCCTACCCTGCTGTCAAGTCTCAGGTGACACTCCCTTCTGTTCCTTCTCTAGCCCTTGGGAACACTGAAAAGTAAGTCCAAACTGTCATTGTGTCCCTGTATAGTGTGGGTAGCCTGGAAGAACTCACAAAAGGAACCCAAAGCCCACCTCAGAGGTCGAGTGGGCCCGTGAGGCTCTGCCCTGGCCAGGAGAGGCTGAGGGCTCCAGGGTCAGGCCCATGTCTTCCCCCTCAGGACTCCTGTGAGCAACCTCCATGAGGCCCTGGACCAGTGCATGGCAGCCCTGGACCTGTTCCTCACCAACCAGTTCTCAGAAGCACTCAGCTACCTCAAGCCCAGGTGAGCTGAAGCCCCTGTGGGTGTGGAAGGTAGCGTTGCATGTGCACACGTGTGCGCAGGTGCTCATGTAAGGATGGGGTGAGCTGGGTCATACAGCAGCAGAGGTCTTGGTGGGAACAGCCCTGTGTAACTGAATGCCTTCAGCTTCCTAGGTCACTAGGAAGTCCTAAAAGAATGACTCAGGCTCCCCGTCCCACAGCCTCCATTCTGAGCAGCCAGGCTGTCACAAAGTCACTGTGACTTTGTTTAAATCTGGCTTCTGAGCCTCTTCCCACTTTGATCCCAATGAATCCACTCAGGGTTTCTCCTTGTCAGTTCTAACACAGCCCCTTCTCCCAAAGCACTAAGACTTGAATTGCCTATTTCACTAAACATTTAGGGTAGCAATGAGGGTTGCTCCTTTAGCGATTCCTCCATTGTTTACTGCTTTATTTCTAAATAACATGCACATACAACTTTTTCTTATTCCTTATTTTTTTCCAGTTTTTAAAACTGAGGTATAGCTGGGTGTGAGGACACACACCTACAATCGCAGCACGTGGGAGGCTAAGGCAGGAGAATTGAGTTTGAGGCCAGCCTGGTGTACACAGTGAGACCCTGGCTCAAAAAAAAAAGCCCAAAAATAAACAAACAAAAACCCCAGTGAGCTCTCAGTCCCTGCTGTCCCTGGAGCCTGCCTTCTGGAGCACAGGCCCATGCTGAGCTGCCCCCTGACCCTCTCCCTTCCCTTTCTCTCATGTCTCCTCCATTTTACCGGAACACGTCCTCTAGAAATTCCTGAGTTGCATGAACATAATTTTTCTGTAAGAATTTTGAATGCATTGTTCCTCTGCTTTCTAATATCTACTTCAGCTGTGAATCCTACTTCTTCTTACTTTGTATTTGCTCTTTTTTTTTCCTTCTCCATAAATGTTTAAGATCTTCACTTTTATTCCTGCACATCTGGAATTTCACAATGATGTGCTTGAGTGAAGGTTTCTTTTATTCTGTACTTTCATTGGAGACTTTCAGTTCCGAGAAGATCCTTCCATCTGTTTCCTTTTTGTGGCTCCTTAAGTCAGGTGTCTGACTTCCTAGACCACTTCTCTTCTAAGCCTCTTATTTCCCTCTCCTTTCCATTTCTATACCTTTTTCCTTCTGATTTTTGGGAGATGTCCTCATTAAGTCCTTTTATTCACTTTCCTTGTGTCACCATGTGATTACTTTCTTAATACTCTTTATTATCCTCCAGATGTTATTTTTTCACTGTAACATTTGAGTTTTTGTTTTGTTTTTGAGACAGGGAGTTGTTCTTTAGCCCAGATTGGCTTTCAGTTCTCCATCCTTGTGAGTGCTGATTCCTGCCTCCCCAGTGCTGAGATTACAGATGTGTGCCACCATGCCTGGCAATGTCTATTTTTCTTTTAGAACTGGGATTTGAAATTAGGGCCTCACGCTTGCTAGACAGGCGCTCTACCACTTGAGTCACTCCACCCATCTTATTCTTAATTTATGGACACTGTATCTTTTTAGAGCTATATTTGGAATATAAGACCCCTTAGAATAGAGCCTGGTATAGAATGTACTCTATTACATATTTACTGTTACTATTTTTACCACAGAATATTATCCTTTTTTTTTTTTTTTTGGTGGGATTGGGGTTTGAACTCATGATCTTGTACTTGTTAGGCAAGTGCTCTACTACTTGAGCCATACCTCCAGTTCTGAAACACTTTATTCTTTCCCTTCATGAGCTGGACTTTCTCCAGGTTCCTGAATTCTGTTCATGGTGAGGAGCCTCTTCTTCTGGTGGCTTTCCTCCAATACCCAATGAGCCCTGGCTGGCTCTCTGGCCATGGTTAAGCATGAGTTCACTCAAAGGCAAATTGGAAAGTCTGTGCCAAGCAGCCTCATGATTGGTGGGCTTGGCTTTTAGATGACTCCACAGAGAGCTGCTGGCCCCCAGGTGTCAGCATCTTAGGTGGTCCAATTTCTCCAGAGAAGAGTCCTCCATTTCTTAGCCTGGACAGCAAATCTCTGAGCCTACCTGAATTCTGAGAGCAAGGTCCAACCATGTCTACTCTCCATCTTGTCAGCCCCAGATATCTTCTGCATTGCCACACCTGATTTCCCCAAGTCTCAGCATAGCAAATGCTCAGGCAGGAGCACTGTTTTCTACAAGTGCCCAACCTGACCTGTTCACCTTCTCTGGACTTGACTGATCCACTCTTCTCCTGTCTGGGGTTAGAGGTCCAGCTTCTGTGGTAGTAGTGGGGATCAGGGTGATGATCCAAATGAGTCCTTCTGGGAACAGTCCCACGTCTCCCTCCTACCCTCTGAGGGGCCTGGGTAAGCCAGGGTCTGCAGCCCTGGTCGGAGGCAAGCCGGGGCCCACCTGCTTCATCACTGAATATCCAGTTCTCTTTCCCAGTAGCTTTGGAAGATTCCCAGCTTCCACTTCCCTCCTCATCATTTTCTGTCCCTCAGGGGCCCTGGACCTCAGACCACAGCTACCTCCTACACTGGAAACTGGCTTTTCCAGGACTGTTCTGCCACTCTCCAAGTGTAGACACTGGCTTTTCTCCTTATTCCCTGAGACTCAACAAAGACTGGGCCATACCTTGGTCTAACTGTAAACCAGACATCCTTCAGACTTGGGGCCAATAGAAGGGAGTCAGAGCACAGGAAAAACCCACTAAAAGCAGATGGCACAGTGTGCCCAGACCCTGGAATTGTACTACCACAGGCTCCCTAAGAGGGCTTTTCGCTTCACGTCTCCCTCCCTGGTGAGGGACTGCTTCCCCTTCCCCACCTCAGGGGGTCACTTGGAAGAGGAAACCCAGAGCAACCAATCTTCTCCCACTTATCTTCTGGATGTCAGTCCAGAAAGACTCTTCCCTGTCTTTTTCAGTTCCTGCAGGCAGGAGCCTTGTTAACACTTCTCACCTGCCTAGTGACACCCAAATATGCCTTCAAAATTACCAAATGTCCCCACAGGAGTAAAATCACATCCCACCTATGATAAACAAAAAATGTGTCTAAAGATAGTCAGATGTCCTTGCATACATTGGGGCAAAAATGCCTCCCTGCCTTCACTGAGAGTCATTGGTCTAAAGGAAATGATTCTTGCTAAGGAGAAAAAACCCCAAAAAACTAAAAAAACAAAAAAAAGAACAAAAAAACCCTGGTCCATTCATTGCCATTGAAGCTTCAAATGAGGTTGGAATCCAGTTTCATTCACTGTTCCTCATTGTGTACATGTCTGTTCAATTATTCTGATCCTACCTTGGGGGGGGTGGATATTTTTCCTCTTTTGCCCTCCCCCCTCCCACTGTCCCTGGAGCACGAAGGCTACTCTATTAGTTTTTCTTGAATAACTGATCATGATTAGTAAATAGGAGGGCTGGGATTCAAATCCAGGACCATCTGGCCCCACCAGTCCTACTCTGACTTCTGTGCTCTCTTGGGTCTCAAGTGGTACGTATGGTCTTCTTGCGTGAAGGGCCCCATGAGAGAAAATGGTGTGCACAGAAATCTGTGTGTGGCCCGGTGGAGGAGATTCAGTGTGTGTCCATGCAATATCCTAGAATTTCTGTGAGGGAAGAGGCAAGGCCACCTGCTGAGATGAGGGGCAGATGGTATGGTGGGGGAGGGGAATGACAGGAAGAGGAAAAGTTGTTTCTGAATAGGGTTATGGACCTGGCCACGTCTGGGCCCCAGCTCAGGGCATGCCTGTCTACGCAGGGCGGCTCTCCAGCCTTGCTCAGTGGCGGCGTGGAAGAAGTAGCCAGTTTGTGGCCTCTTGGCTTGGGTTCCTAACTGGGAGCAACAGAAGGTTGGAAGGCTAAGTACTGCATATTTTGACGAGAGAGGGGCTGGCATGAGGGAGCTAAGGTGAAGGGTCAGAAAGAAGGGACAGGCTGGAGGAGGGAGGAGGATGGGGCAGTAGGAATGATGAGTGAGAGTGGGAAGGCAGGAAGATTGTGGCTGAGAAAGTGGCTGGCATCAATAAGCCTCCAGAAGTGTGGGAAAGATAGGTCAAGGTGTGACCCAGGACAGGAAGGCAGAATGGACACCTGTCATTGGTTCATTCAGCAACACTTATGAATGCTCTTGTGTGCCTGGCAGTCTGCTGAGTACTGGGGCTCCGGTACTGAGCAAAATACAGGGCTTCTTAGGACCCAGCAGGGAAACAGTGGAATAAGCACTTAAGGGTTCCATGAGCTACATAGAGACATCAAGTCACGTGGGAGAGGGGCTGGTCAGGAAGGCTTTAGGATGAGTCACATAATTTCTGAAAATATGGGGTTGTTTGTTCACAAATTATTAAAGAGTTTCAAGACAGTGACAGCAGAGAAGCCTTCCTGGAAGAAGTGACATTGATATTGACACGGGCTGGATGAGGACTCAGCCAGATGCAGAGGGTATTTCCAGGTGGAGGGAACCAGCTGTGCACCAGCCTGGCAGCAAAGCAGGGTCCAGCATATTTGAAGAATGGAGGCTCTTCACTTGGCCGAAGTCAGGAGAGCTGAGGCAGGGATTGATGGAATGTGAACGGGGATGTGAGGCTCCAAGAAGTAGCTTGGCTGGAGAGGAGGGCAGTGAGGTAAGGTCTGAGAGTAGCAGAGGTGGGGTTGGGGGCTTTAATGAGGATGAAGGAGTGGACTTGGAGAGGCAGAGGGGCTGCATCTGCCTTCCAGACCCTCCCAGACCTCCCTGGAAAGTGAGATACTCAGCTAAGATTGGGTTGGGGGACAGGAAGGAGCTGTGGGGTTGGGTCAGGATGAGGAGGTCCAGATGGGAGGGATAGACTCAGGGCAGGAGGTCTGACTGGGATCTGACAAGGCCTGACCCTTGGGTGCTAGCCTAGGAAGGAAGTGCTGGAAGCACCTGTAGTGGCCGCATGTCCTTAGTTCCACCGCCATTCTCTGTTTATGGCCCTCCCAGCACCCTTCCCATTTTGACAGCTGGTTTGAGCCCCAGAAGGTTAAGACCCAGTGGACATGTTGTAGAGCTAGGTCCAATTCAGGGGGCTGGATACTATATATGCAAATGAGAGCTGGTGGTGCACACATTAAACTTGAGGTACCTGAGGTTTGGGGGCTACCATGCTTCTCACCCCACTTCCCACTCCAGATCAGAGTTGGGGTCTTCCAAATGGCAGGCTGGGGAAGGGCTAAGATTCCTAGTCACAGGTGCATGTTGGGGCCTTGGGCCTCAGACTAGAAATTCCACTTTATCTGCCAGCTGCCTGGGTGGCTGTCCCTTCTTCTGGGCCCAGAACCAAACTGGATTCAGCAGGTGGGGCTAGGTGGGTGCGGCTGAGTCCTGGGACTCAGACTTACAGAGGGAAAGAAAGAGAAATGCTATGCTGGAGAGCAGAGAGGCCTGGGGAAGTGGGGAGACCATCTGAGGGATGGTGTCTGCTGGGAAGGGAGCCTACCTCAAGAAGGGTGTTATGCTGGTAAAGTGACCCTGGCAGGACATGGAGGAACTCACATTTATTGTGCAAAGGTGATATGGCCCTGGTCTGGGTCAACTATTTAAGTCACTCAAAAAGCCCTGGGACAGAAGGATTATTGTATTCATTTTTATAGAGGAGAAACTTGAGGCTCAGAGAGGCTGAGAGACTCACCAGGGTCACACAGCTGGTGACTGGCAAAGCCAAGATTCCAACCTGTGTCTGAGGGACCCTGTAGTCCAAGTTTAGCATCCCTACCGGAGACAGACACCTCCTACCCACAGGCCACTGTCAGACGAAGCAGTCCTGGCACAGGCTTGGAAGGCATCCTGAATGAGAGCTGGCAAGGCTGAGGAGGGGTCAAACAGCTTGTGTTCCCTTTAGAAACCTTTGATCCTCGAGGGTCCTAACATCTGAGGGTTAGCCAGAAATAAAGAGCAACTCAATTTACAGGTATTTTTTGAACAAGAAAGGAAGAAGGCTAAAGTCACATGATATTATAATAAAACCATCTATAAAGCTTAGTCATCTCTATTTCCTCCAAAGTTCCCAGCATAAGCCTGGCACTGAGGAGTCTGGTAAATAATTGACAAGGGCACGTGGGGAAGGGAGTGAAGTTGCCTTGGCATCTGTGGTACCTTTTAAGCTGCTCCCTCCCACCAGTCTCAAGGCTGCAGAACCCAGGCTGGCCAGCCACTTTGCCCCCTGTCTTAGAGCCCAGGCTGCTAAGGGACTCACTCCTCCAAGTACAGGAGGGATTGGCATTGTTCCTGCCTCTCCTTGCCCTCTGTCCTCTCCATGTGTTAGACTAAATACTACCAGCTCCTCTTGCTAGAACACCTTTGGTTGTGGAGGAGTAGGGAGGAAAGGCTTCCTGAGGCCACCATAGCCGCTAACAATTGTGCTGAGGACAGAGATGAGTCATGCCCAGCCTTGTCCCTAAGGTACCCACAGTCTGCGAGAGAGCTGAGCTTGTGCTGATGTGGTTTCAATGTGGCCCATGCCTCATCAGAGACTCCCAGGCCTTGAGGCGGAGCTCTGGATTCCCTGGGTCCTTCAAGGCTTTTGAGGGCTTGATGGATGAGTCAGGAGATATGGAGGTAGGGAGAAGGAATCCCAGGCTGAGGGAACAGCATGGGGGAAAGGCCCAGAAGTAGAAAACATGGGGTTTTCTTGGAGGAAAGTCTTGTGTGGTTCAGTGAGGCCGGGTACAACCTTGAGTGTGACCAGATCATGGCAGGGGTGGGGCAGGGAGAGAGCAGCAGGAGGCTGGAAAGGTAAGCAGAGCTTGTATCTTGTGGGACTGGGAAGGTTCTCCCAGGGCCAACCAGGTGACAGGATGGAGACAGGTGGCCTGTGAAGAGGGCCAGGGAGTGTAGGAGGAGTTAGCTTAGGGTGGGGCTCAAGGATAGAAAGGATTTTGGAGACAGGCAGGACTAGGGGTGGACCTGCTGGAGGTGGGGGCAGAAGGCATGAGGCAGCCTGGGGCCTGGGGAAGGGCAGCCTCAGGCCAACACACTAGGCCCAGCTAGTCCTCACACACCTTGCTGCTCCCACCTCTTTGGGAGAGAGGAGGAGCTGAGGCTCAGATTTTGAAGGTGATTTAGGGTAGAAGAGGAGCTGGGACTACCATCCTAATGCCATCTGAGGTCTTTTGAGGAGCAGAGACAGGGTCAGGTCTTGGACAAGTAAGTCCCTCCCTGGACCTGTTTCTCTCCAGGCCAGTTGGGAGGGATGGCAGACGATCGATTGTCAGGCTGCCTGCCACACCTGGAATTCCAGAGTGCTGCTCCCAATGTCCCTTCTCTCTGACAGAACCAAGGAGAGCATGTACCACTCACTGACTTATGCCACTATCCTGGAGATGCAGGCCATGATGACCTTCGACCCACAGGACATCCTCCTTGCCGGCAACATGATGAAGGAAGCGCAGTCTCTGTGTCAGAGGTCTGGGCTGTTGGGGGCAGGGGTTAGGGATTGTGAGGCCCACTCTTCTGTCTATCACCTGGCCTGACCCAGTGTCTGGAGTGACACTATTAGTGCTTTTCTTTTGGCTAATAGGCTGTGTCCCCAAGTGCTGAGAGCTGTCCCTGCCAGCACTCCCCCAGAGCTTCGTTGTCTGAGCCATCACTGAGAGCTTGCAGGGACCAGTGCTGACTGGAAGAAAACTAATTCTGGATCTGTCACTTTATTACTCTTTGGCTTTGGGCAGGTCCCTTTCTGAAGTCCACATTACACATCTGTAAAGTGGGTGTGATGAAATATGCATAACATGGTTGTCTTGGGACTGCATGAATACCTGCGTTACAGGACCTGGTGCATATATGAATGTGTCTGGTCCTCATTCCCTGATTGAATGAACAGACCTGTGTTTCATGTGTGGGTAGAGTTATCGTCCACTGCACATGCTTAATACCTGCTCTGGGCCAGGCCCTGGTAACCCTGGAGGTCATAAGACCTAGACATTGCTGATGCCCACATCACCCAGCAGGGGCACAGGCCCCAACAGGGAAGCTGTGAGGGGTTGTAAGGGTCCAGTCTGAGGAATAGGAAAGGCTCGGGCAAGAGCTGATACCTGAGGAGGGTCCTGAAGGGTGACCAGGCGCTAGTCAGGAAAGAAGGAAGGAGATAAGGGGGTTCTGGACAGAGGTAAGAGAGCAAGAGTAACAGGGTGAGAAAGCCCTGGATTTGGTGGAGCTATGGGGAGCCCAGTGTCTGAGGGGCCTGCATGCCTTGAGATTTTCTGGAGTATAACAAAGAGGGCAAAAGTGAATGTGACTTGAGCCTCACCTGAGGCTCCTTTCTCTCTTCAGGTACCGGAGGAAGTCTTCTATGACAGACTCCTTAAGCAGCCTGGTGTACCGCCCCACTCTGGAACAATTCACAGAAGGTGTGGTACTTGGGGTGTCCTTTCAAGCATGCTGAGCCCAGCTGGCTCCAGGCCTGGGAAGGGGCAGGGAGAGGGAGCAGTTTTGCTCCCAGGTGTCACCAAGGGGACTGGGCCTTGGCTTCAATGCAGGGACACTGGTGAGGGATAAGTGAGACATACCCATCTGATGGCATTACCCCCAGGAACCTGGAAGCCGAGGAAAGGAAAAGTTGTCACGAGGACTGTGGCTTTAAAAAAAAGAAAGAAAGAAAAAAGAAAACAAACAAAAAGGACTGTGGCTTTTCTTCTCAGGCCAAAGGTTGCTGAGAATTGAGTGTACAGTTAGGTTTGCTGACTGAGTTTATGATGTTGTGTGCCCAGAGGGGACAAGACAACTGACAGCAGCAGAGACAGTCTGGGTTGTCACTTTGTGTGGAGGCCATGTGTGGCAGAAGTCAACCATGAGCAGTTTGGGACTTACTTTAGCCACTTTGAGAGCTCTGGAAGATTCCAATACCAAACACGGCATCCAGTGTTCTGGGGGAACAAGAGGACATGGCTGGATGTTGATGGAAGAGCCAGTCCAAAGATGGGTGTCGCGGGGAAATGTGAACTTGGGATAGAGCAACCGGTCAAGGTGGGGTGGGACCTCACACAAGCTTCCTTTGCTTTTGGGTAGTGGGAGCTGGAGGGTCAGGCCCAAGGCCCTGTGTAGAGCCCCAGGAGACCTCAGGACTTTGGTTTTCTCCCTACAGAGGAAATCCATGCTGAGGTCTGCTATGCAGAGTGCCTGCTGCAGAGAGCGGCTCTGACCTTCCTGCAGGTAGGAGGCCCTTTCTTGTGCAGGGGGGCTGGGGATTTCAGAAGAGCAGTCACCATGTCCAAGCACGACCCTCCCCTTGAGGTCCAGGCAAGGCCTGAGGCTCAGAGCTACCTGGTTCTTGACCCTGGCCAGGCCTAACACAGAAGGGATAGGCCCAGTCCTCCTCACACACCATTAACATGAGACTGCTTCTGTCTTGTCCCTGTTGTTGCTCCTGTCAGGGGTGACCTGGCACAGGCATTGTCACAAACCTACTTTGCACTTGATTCATTTGATGAACACTTGTAGCACAGAGCCTACCAGACTTTTGCATATAGTACAATATTAATAGTTTGGTATGTATGTCTACATTATTATGTAATCTTCACCTCAAAGGCCAGAGTTAGAGAAATACTTAGGAAAGGAGCCATCTTCTCAAGGCTATGTGATTAGCAAATGGCAAACTGGGATTTGAACCCAGGTCTGGTTAAGTCAGAGCCAGGTTTCCTCAACTACACACTGGAAATTATAGGCACTATCACTCCATGATTTTACCAGAAAGTCTGAGCTATAATATAACATACCAAAATCATGTGGAAAGCTGGGAATGGTGACTCATGCCTGTAATTCCAGCACTGGGGAGGCTGAGGCAGCCTGGGCTACATTGCAAGTTCAAGGCCAGCCTGGGCTACATAGTAAGACCCTGTCTCAAAACCAAACCAGAGCAAACCAAACCAAACTAAACCAAACCAAAACCAAAACCAAAACCCTAAAACAAGCGAACAAAAACTGAAAAAAGAATCATGTGTGCATGTATGTATGCATATCTGGGAGAAGATGGACATACATTTTAAGCTCTTTTTTTTTTTTCATCTTTTTGTGAGTTCAAATCCCCCCAAAATCTTTTGGATATCAAATGATCAGAATTGGATTAATCCTAATCCTTGTCTTAGGACTCACTGTAAAATTGCATCATAAATGGCATTTCACTCCATTTATTTGTTTATTATATTATTGCAAATAAGCAAATACTGACAACCCCCCCCACCCAGCTAGAGGGTAGAGCACCACATGTGGTGGAGGGTGGGAAAGAGGAGGTAACTCTCCCTTCCCCTCTGGCCTCATCCTATCGTCCAGCTCCCTCCCCAGCGGGAAGCTACTGCCTGAAGTTTTCATCATCCCCCACCTTCTAGTTAAAAATAGTTTATCAGCTTTCTGTTTGTGTGATAACAGCACGTTGGCTGGTTTTTAGCTTCACAAAGGTCTGAAGCTATGTGAGACTTGCCTTTTTCACCCACCCATGCGTGGCTGTGTCCTGTGTGCTGATATGAACCTCCCTTGGTTTGTCTGTCCATTTTTCTATTGATAAGCATTGGGCCGTTCCTGGTTCTGTGAACGTTCCCAAAGGTGACTTCTGTAGCCTGCATCCATCCACTGCCTTTGGGTGGGCACCCAGGAGTGAAGCTGCCAGGCTGGCTGGGGATACTAGTGCTTTAAGTTACAAATGTGATAAATACCCTCTTGTGGTAAAAACCACAACTTGTTCAAATGAACATCCCTCCTCCTCTCCCACGCCTTTCCACCTAGAGGGAAGGCACTCCATGGGGAGCGTCCCCCACCACAGGCTTCTCTCCAGGTACCCAGTATGTGTGCCTGTGAGGATGAGAGAGGGGTGGGGCTTGTTGACGCCCTGGGCACTTAGGAGGTTTGTTTGGCCAAGGAATAGGGGAGCCTGGTTTGGCTGACCTCTGACCTCCCCCCCAAGGTCCCTCATAGATCTGGGAACGGGTGTGGGGAGGCATTCAAGGCTTTGTGTGATCCCTCAGGCCTACAGCTGCCTGCCTTGGGCCCAGCTCTCAGCATCTCTCCTTCCTGCAGGACGAGAACATGGTGAGCTTCATCAAGGGTGGCATCAAAGTTCGAAACAGCTACCAGACCTACAAGTGAGTGGGGCAGGCGCAGCAGAGCTGGGAGGCCTGGGTCACAGCAGCTATTACCTTGTGCCCTTCAGACTGTGCCGTGGGAGGCAGAGCACTAGCTAGAAGCCCTAGTCTAGAGTACTGTGAGCTCAGGCAGATTTCTTCACCCATAGTGCCTCAGTTTTCTGGAACATTACCGTGTTTTTCTGGCTGTGTCTGTTCATTTGGTCTCCCAAGTGTTTTCTCTGCTGGGAGAAATAAGACCCAGGTTCCACACAAACAGCTTTGGCTGGTGGGACAGGAGATAGACCCAGGGAATCATTTGGGGAACAGCATCAGAACTCCTACACATCCATGAAGGCCCAGTCTAAATCCCACTTTCCCCTATGAAGCCTTCTTGACCTCTTGAGCCCTTAAGTAGACAGAGATTGTACACAAACACACACATACGTGTGCATACACACATGCATGCTCACACACACACACTCCCTCAGGGCCAGAATCATTTCCATGCTGTCTCTGAGTCCCTGATATAGGTATTCTGGATCAGGCACAAACTGTGTTAATGGATGAAAGAATACAGATTCAGTTCAGATTACATTGAGTAAACCACATTTAGTGGTTTCCAAATTCCTTATCTATATTCTATAATCAAATAAAGCTCTGAAAGCCCAGTTTCCCCCCTAAATTTTGAATTAAAACCTATTTCCCATTAAAAGTTTATTTGGGACTACTTATCTTTACCGTCCTCATTTAATGTGACTGTTTCACTGCCGATGGAGGTATTGCTCATAATCATGACAAAGGCTGGCTGGACTACAGCACGCCATACAGTGTGTGGACACCATGTTACCTTGGGGCCTATGCTGCAATTGTTCAGGGACAACCAGAAACTTGTCCCTGGACTCTGACCCCTGCAGACTCCCTTCTAGCTGCCAGAGTGATGTCTCCAAAGCACACACCTGGTCAGGTCACCCCTTGCCAACTCCCAAGGCTCCTCTTGCTCTTGGAATAGAGTACTGGCCATTGTCTACTCATTCCTGGGAGTTCCCTGTTGTCCTATCTCCCACTTCATTCTGTCTCAGACCTTTAGACCTTCCCTTAGTTCTTCTAATATTCCAAATTGATCTCTTCCTCAAGACCTTTGGACATGCTGTTCTCTTTGTCAGGGATGGTCTTTGCAACAGACTAGCCAGAATCCATCCCTCACGTTTCTGCTCAAATGTCACATCTCCACTTAAATGTTACCTCCTCTGAGAAAGCTTCCTGGTCCCCAGATTAGGTCAGATGCCAGGTTCTTCTCCTGAGAGACTGTCATCACCCTCACAGTGGCCCTTTGGGGACTGTCCCCTAGAGAGGAGTGCTGTGGGGCTGTGCTGGGTGGCTGTGCTCCTTGCTGCCCTCCAGTGCCTGGCAGAGAGAAGCCTCAGTAGTACTTGCTGGTTGAAAGCCCTCCTGATGCTCACAGTCAGGAAGGAGGAAGCATGTCTCTAAAGCCTGTCCTGGGCTATGGACTCTGTGGCATTAGTGACCAGGAGAGAGTTGGATTCCAGCCAAGTGAATTCCAGGAAGACTTCCTGAGGGATGAGGTGTTTGAGTTAGCTCAATGTTTCACAGCTGGGGGACTTTTCTCCCCTTGAGACGTTGGCAATGTCTGGAGTCATTTTGGTTGACCAACTGAGGAGAGAATGCCACTCATATATAAAGGGCAGAGGCCAGGGATGGACTAAGCATCCTACAATGCATAGGACAAGTCCCCTTCCACACCCTCCCCCAACAAAGAATTATCCAGCCTAAAATGTCAGGTTGAGAAATTGTGTTCTAGATAGAATGCAGAGCATGAACACATAACAGAAGTTGGGCAAGAGAGGGCACACTAGTGCCAATTGGGTAAAATTCGGGGGCAAGGAGTATACTGTCTTGGTGGGAGGTGGGGTTAGAAATTCCTTGAGAATCAGCTCTCTGTATCTGCAGAACTGTAAATCTAGGGCCTTCTGAACTAGCCTGGATGGGAATTCATCTTAGGCCCAGCTGGAATGGGTCCTTGCTGTCCCCTCCCCTCCCCTCAGGGTTTGGCTGAACAGGATTTTGATCTTCCTGCAGGGAGCTGGACAGCCTTGTCCAGTCTTCACAGTACTGTAAAGGAGAGAGCTACAGGCACTTTGAAGGAGGAGTAAAACTTGGTGTGGGAGCCTTCAACCTGGTGAGTCCCCCATTTTCATTGTGTTTGGGCTCCAGGTAAATTTCCACAGCATTTCCTTGTTCCATGCATGCTCACTCATAAGTGCCATTATGCTTGGCACTTAGGTGTGATGGGCCCTGGGACCCAGAAATGAACCTGACATGTCATCAGCTATTAAGGGGCTCACAGCTGGAGAAGGGGTGGAGGGTATTGGAGCCAGCTCCAGAGAGTCTATCTGTGCATCTGTGTGTCATGTTGATAGCTTGAAATCCCCTGATATGGAAGTTATTATGGCACCAGAACTTGACAAACCCAGTAAGTCAGGACTTCTGCCCTGGAGAGCTAATTGCTAAACACCAGTGGCAGGAAAGGAGACAGGCCTGGAGAATCTGGTGACCCACAGGGGACAGAGAGCCAAGTCTTCTTCTGGGAGGAGCTGGGAAGGTTTCCTGGTGGATGGAAGTAAACATTTGAGCTGGATCTCAAAGGCCCGAGTTTCCAGGTGGAGAAGGATGTATCAGGAAGAGGCAACAGTGTGAGCTGGGACAGGGACCCTTGGAAATGCTGTGCCTGCTCATGGGAGGAGGAGCTCTCAGGAAAGATGCAAGGCCCTGGCCCTGGGTAGCCAGAGAACTTTCTAAAGGCTGTATGTGTCTGGGGGAGGAGGAGGTGGTAGCCCTCTCCTCTTCAGTAAAGCTTGTTCAAAGAGCTGGCCTTGGGGTGAGGGTTCCCTACCCCACTCTGGGCATCTTTCATGTGCCCACTGCCTTTGTTCCTGCAGACTCTGTCCATGCTTCCTACTAGGATCCTGCGGTTGCTGGAGTTTGTGGGGTTTTCAGGAAACAAGGTAACTACCTCTCTTCTGGTACCCTTGACATGCTCAGCCCCAGGACTGGAGCTGAGGTGAACAGGGTGAAGCTAAGGGGCTGAGGGGCCTGGTATCAGTCCTGGACAAAGCCCAGATCTGAGCCTCAGTTTTCACTCCAGTCTCATGAGGCCACAGATACCTGCCTGATCCCTCACAGAATGGAGAGGCTCTGGGGTAAGGGTTGGTATGAAGGGCAGTCCTAAGGGACCTGGGGTCACATTCTCTGAGCCTTGAATATCTCCTCACTTCAAGGCTTTCAGCAAGCTCTCCTCTCTAGGACCATTTTTTGGTGCTTCTACCTCATCTGAGAGATTCCCAGGGGTGCCTTCCTGTGTATCAGAGGTGATACACAGGATCACCTTGGGGTGAACCAGAGAACTCTAGAGTCCGAAGACATTACTGAGGAGAGGGACCTGAGTATTAGCCCCTGTCGGAGGTAGCAGATTAGGGAGAGCTTGCTGGTAGAAGAAGCCCTGGTGGTGGAAGGAGCACCAGCCTGGAAGTCAGGAGCCCTGGGTCAGTTCAGCCTCTGCCCCTTCTCCCTGGGACCCTTAGCACGTCTCTTCCTCTCCTGAGCTACTCTGGGTGAAACAAGGGGCTTGGTGTAGGCCAGACTTGTGCTGTCTGCCTTCCTTCCTGATGTCTGCCATACCACACGACGTCTACGTTATTATTTACATATTGTTTTTCTCAAAAGTGACAAAAATTTTACTTAAATTTATTTAAGGAGAATATTACTGCACAAAACCCATATTATTTGGTATTAGAACATAATCATAAAAAGTAAACATTATGAGGGCCATGCCATCGTATGGAATAGATTATGGGGTCAAGCACAACTCAGCCAGTGTCTGCTAGTCTGCTATTCTTTGTGAGAAGGGAGCTTAGGGCAAGAGTTGGTTCACATGTGAGCCTGGGCCCGTGAATTTCCCTTGGGTACACCATCAGAAGGACAGAGAGCACTAAGGAGAGAAAACCTTTACATGAGGCTTGGTGCTTCCTAATGCCTGTTCTTGAGTCCTCGAAATCTTGGTTGCCATTTGCAGTCCATGGCTGAAGTTTCTGATGGTCCCTTCTGTTTTGCTTTCTCGAGCAAGCCTGTGGGTGGCTGGTGGGGGGGTCACAGGATGTTGATGGGAGTTGGGGAGCACTAGGAAGGCCGGAGGTGGGATGGTCAACCCTAACCTATAGCTCCAGCTCAGGCTTAGTCTTTGTCCCAAAATCAAGGCAACCACAGGGTTTGAGGCAGGACAGGTTTGTGTTTTAGAAAGAGCAAGAATGCTGAGGAGGACAGAATGAGGGAAGAGATTGCAGGTAAACAAAGTGGAATCTGGCCCCAGTTCCTCTTCAGCCAGGCTTTGGGAGTTCTCCCCCAGGAAGCCTTCTTGGGTCTTAGTCTTCACAGCTCCATCTGTTCCAAGAGCTTATAGTTAGGATCTCTTCTTGCTGCTTCTCCTAACCAGACCAGGCTGCCTGGTTCTTGGTGTCTACCACAGGGCTGAGAGTAGGCATATATGGGGAGGAACTGTGGGAGAGGTGGGGGACACCAAGGCCCAGCCCAGCCAAACCTCTACCCTAGCCTCAACAGCAGTCTTCTTCTTCCAGGAAAGTGGCTGCAGCCCCAAGAGTGCATCCCCTTGCTCAGGGTAACACTGCAAGGGAGCAGCTGCCCCAGCCTCTAGGGTTCCAGACTCCAAACCTAGTGACCTCCTGGCCTGCCACAGCAGGCCTCCCTGCTCCTGGCCCTCTCTGGGACCCTCAGCCTGTCCTCCTGTCCCCCAGGACTATGGGCTGTTGCAGCTGGAGGAGGGCGCGTCGGGGCGCAGCTTCCGGGCCGTGCTCTGTGTCATGCTGCTGCTCTGCTACCATACCTTCCTCACCTTTGTGCTCGGTAGGAGCCCCACGGGACAAATGCTGGGCACCGGGACGCTGACCTTGCTCAGGCCCCAGGGACAGGGATGGGGGTGCTGAAACCAGAAGTAACAGACAGATCAACTGCCCACCGACCAGATCCCAACTGCAGTGTTCTCAGCTGTGAAACGGGGATGGTTGTGCCCGCCTTGTAGAGGGTGTGAAAATGCTTCTCCTTGTGGTTCTGGGAACAGACTTGGTAGACGTAGTCTCCTACAATACACTGAGCCCTGTAATACACTGGGATCATATCTGCACTATCTTGTTCAATCCTCATATCACCCTGCAGATAGAATTACTATTCTCATTTCACAGAGGGAAGATAGAGGCCCAAAGAAGGCCCTGGTGGTTGCTGGGGGAAGTCCAGGAGCAAGTGGTGACTTGTGTTATGCTCCCCCTGCCATCTCCACCAGGTACTGGGAATGTCAACATTGAGGAGGCAGAGAAGCTGCTGAAGCCCTACCTGCACCGATACCCCAAGGTGAGCCCACCCTCTGCTGAGCACCGCAGCCAGCCAGCTCTGTGGACCCACACTGATCCATGTGCGTGTCGTTGCAGGGTGCCATCTTCCTGTTCTTTGCGGGGCGGATTGAAGCCATTAAAGGCAACATTGATGCAGTGAGTGATGGCGGTTCCTTGGGGTCTCCCAGCCCAGCAGGAAGTCAGACACACAGAGTCTTCCTGGGAGGCCCTATGAGAGGACTGATAAGCATTCAGGGATGGGAGAGGCACTTTCTGACTGCGGCAGTCTGGGGATAAGGGAAGATGTGGCATTTGTGCTATAGAATTTCATTTATTTGTTGGCAATACTGGGGTTCAAACTCAGGACCCTGTGCTTACTAGGCAGATGCTGTAATATTTGAGCTGTACTCCCAGCCCCTTTTTGCTTTAGTTATTTTTTGTATAAGGTCTTGCATTTTTGGCTAGGGCCAGCCTCAGACCATGATCCTCCTACCTGTGCCTCCCACATAGCTACTACCATGTCAGCTTGTTGGTTGAGATAGGGTCTTACTAACTTTTTGCCTGGACTAGTTTCAAACAGTAATCATCCTGATCTCTGCCCTCTGAGCTTGGATTATAGGTGGGAACCACTGTACCCAGCCCTGTGCTATAGGATTTTGAGATATGATATAGGACTATGGTATTCCTGGTGGTGGTGGGGGTTGAAGGAGGTAGCCCTTGTTTAGGGCATGGTGATAAAGCTGAATTCTGATAAGTAGGATGGTGATGCCAGGGGCTGAGGAAAGCCACAGAAAGGGTTAGAGATGGGGAGGGTCACAGTGGCCAAGTAGTATGCCAAGGTCCACAACAGAGTTCTGAGGTCTTCACCCAGTCCTAGCAAGAGGTTACCAAGGCCTAGGTAACCTTATGAAAACTACTGGACTCTTTGAAGTTTGTTGAGGCACAGACATTATTATGTCAGTATAATATTAACACCTTTTACCGCCTGTTATCCCATCCAGTGTAGTATGGCTGTGTCCCTCCCTTTCATTTTGTGACCAAAAATCCAAAGTCCTAGCTGAGTGCTCATAGCTGTAATCCTAGCTTCTTGGGAGGCTGAGAAAGGAAGGATCATGGTTCGAGGCCAGACCAGGCAAATAGATTGTGAGACCCATCTCCAAAATAACTACAGCAAATGAACTGGAGCTGTGGCTCAAGCAGTGGAGCGCCTGCCTAGCAAGTGTGAAACCCTGAGTTCAACCCAGTCCCACCAAAAAAAAAAAAAAAAAAAAAAAAAAAAATCCAGAGTTCTGGGGAGGAGGACAGTAATGAAATCAAGGTCCTAGAGCTGGGACTGAAAGCCAGATTGCCCAGCTTCTCAAGCTTCTCAACCCTCACCTGAGCTTGGCACAGGGGTGAACCACCATGCACTGGAGAAGGCCAGGTCTGCTGTGGAGTCAGAGGTTGCAAAGGGTGCAGAGGATGGGGTGGGACCAGGTGAGCACTCACCAGGCTGACCTGCAGGTGCCCACAGGCCATCCGTCGGTTCGAGGAGTGCTGTGAGGCCCAGCAGCACTGGAAGCAGTTCCATCACATGTGCTACTGGGAGCTGATGTGGTGCTTCACCTACAAGGGCCAGTGGAAGATGGCCTATTTCTACGCTGACCTGCTCAGCAAGGAGAACTCCTGGTCCAAGGTGGGCTGGTATTACACGTTGGGGCATTGGGAGGCCAAGGCTGACCCAAATGAGCCATCAGCCCCCAGACAAAAATCTAACCCTTGACTGATCACAGATGTGTCAGCTGGAATCTAAATAGGACCATACACTCTGATAGGAGTAAGAGTTGGAAGGAACTAAACACTGTGATGAGCACAGAAACTTGACTTCTTTATTTGGTAATGGGGATTGAACCCCAGGCCTTATCATGCTGTGTTACCACTGACTTACAGCCCTGGAAATACAATGTGTCAGTTGAGACATTTAGTCACAAGAGATAGAAACATGGTTTACATATTTTAGTGAGCACTGTCCAATAGAACTGTCTGCTATGGTGGAAATATTTTTTTGCACCATTCAAATATGGTAGCCACCATGAAGGAAAGAGAGTAGTGGCCTGAGCAGAAGGATACTGAGAGAGAGAGAGAGCTGGGCATGCAGCTATGTAGCTCAGGGGTGGAGCACCTGGCTAGCATGCACAAGGTCTTGGTTCAGTCCCCAGCATCCTCCCCCCCACAATAACAAATAAATATGGATGGTAGCCATCAGCTACCTACACACATTGAGCACTTAAAATGTGTATAGTGCGGCAGAAATTGAATGTTTTAAATTTCATTTTCTTTTAATTAATTTAAATAGCTCTATGGGGCTAGTGGCCATTGTATTGGATTATTCACATCTAAAACACCAAAGGTTCATTGGGTCATATAAAGAAAATTCTAGGTGTACTTGACTTTAGGTAGGGTGGGTAGAGGAATTCAAATGACAGTCTCTGAGCTCATTCTTTCCATTTGGGAATGTGCTCTCTTTAATGATATCTTTGTTATGTAGGCAGATCCTCTGTGTGACAGGAAAGGTGGCCATGGGCTGTCCCTACTCAAACCTTCCCTTGGTTTCAACCAAAGTCACACAGTTGCACCTCACTGGTTGGCTTAAGTCACATGTCAATGCCTAGAACAGAGGGTTGAGAAGACTCCTCATGAATTGGGAGTAGGAGACAGGTGGTTCCCCAGAAGAAGAATGAAGTTATGTACCTGGAATGTATGTGTGTGTGTGAACCTACCATAGAAAAAACTCGTTATGGGAAGTCTTAACATAAGTATTAGCCATTTTCATCATAGTAATGGTATCCTAGAACTCTGAACCAAAAGTCTTACAGGCACCTAGCTCATGAAAGAGCACCCATTTCAGTACATAGCACATGATGTAACTCAATGACTTTATGCCTTGCTCATAGCAGACATTGCCAGTCAGTCCTAGCACTTTCCCATGAGCCTGGTGAACCTTACAAGTTCTGCAAAGAGCTTGTAGCCACTAGAACTGATCTGCAGTGCACATGTTAGGAGACCTCTTTGTCATCCGCATCTAGTCTGTTTCTTATCCCTGCCTCTGCATGGAAGTCCCCCTTGCCAGGGGACCCATCTAAAGAGGAATTCTCAGGCAAGTGGGGTCTGGGAGGGAGCAGGCTTTCCTTGAGTGGTCACTGTGTATCTAGCACTTGTCATTTTGCCCACATCACACCTAGTGATATACAATCTTTCATCTCCATTGGGCACATGCAGGACTCTGAGGTCCCCAAAGCTATTGGTGACACATCCTGGACTTGAGGACAGTTCTGGGAGATTCAGAGGTCTCCATTTGACCTTTGCTGCTCAAGTTCTCCTGAGGAGGTAGGGCTTCCCCTGAGAGCACCGCACTGTTGGAGGTGTGTCCTTGGGCTTGGTCCCAGTGTACTCACATCCGTTCCCCGTTGCCTCCCACTCCCAACAAGAACAAGCCTTGGGGGAATCTTTTTGAACAAAAATTGACTTGTTAAGTCTTTTGGTGGAGTGGTGTGGACAGCTGGGTTCACCTACATGAGGAAGGGGAGGCCACACAGTCTGTGAGGAGCAGTGGGAGAGTCAGACCTCCCAGATGTGAGGAAGTCTGGTGTGAGAACCAGTTTAGTCCTCAGCTTGCTGTGAGACTTTGGGACAGTAAGTCCCTCTCTGTAGTACTCTCCTCAGAGGGGTTTCCTATGAAAAATGGGGTTCATAACACCCTGAGTTCTGGAGTCTCATCCATCAATTTCTAGCTTAGGGATTTGGTCTGTGGCCATTGCCATAACTGTCACTCTTCTACTCACACCCCTCTTTGTAGCTGGGCCTTTCAGAATCAATCCCAGGGAGGTCTGGAGTTTCCTCAGCCAAGGGCTGAGATGGTGGAAACACAGTGGTGACAGCCATGTGCTCAGGGCTATAAAAAGGGAATGCTGGGAAACTAGCATTCCTGGAGACCCAAGCAAGAGGCCAAGGAGGGCTTCAGGAAGCCCAGACCTCTGAGCTGAGTCTGGGAGGAAGTTAGGGTGGCAGAGTGGAGGAAGTGAGAGGACACACCGAGCCAGAGAACAACAAGAACAAAATCTCAGGATGAAGACACTGCTAAGAGGTTCTGTGTCACCGGGTGAGGGTTTATGAGGTTTGAGATCAGGGGGTCTGGAGGAACCCTCCTCCTCTGAGCCACTTGCTATAAGCTTCTGAGGACAAGCACTGTTTACCTGGCACAGACCATAGTGGCATAATCCAGCAAGGTAAATATTTCTGGAATCAGAGGGCAAGCAGTCAGGTAACATGGGAGTCAGGGCCCCCATCAGGGAAGGTGGCTGCTGTTCTCCATCATATCCCTCAATGATGTGGATGCCTGCAACTCTAGGCCACTGCATCCATCCTAGTTCCTGAGGGTCAGTGAGGGCGAGCTGTCTGGAGAGAAAAGGGAAGCTCTTACAGGAATGAGACTGACGAGAGAAACTGTGGCCTGGGTAAAGGAATAGTACAGGCAAAGGCCTGGTGGGCTAAGGAGGGATAGGGAGAAGATGGCAGCAGATGAACCAGGAAAGGAGTTTGGGGCAGGTCATGGAAGGCTAGAGCACCAATTTGGGCTTTATTCTAACAGTGAAGCTGGGGGGATGGTGGTCTCTAAGTGTTTGTGTTTCAGATTTGTGCTCTCTTGGTACCCACAGTACTAGGCCAGGAATACAAGAGTGAATAAAGCAAAGACCCGACTGAGGGTTCATGTCCTGGTAAGGAGAGAGACGGGAAGCACACACGGATGTACATTGTACCATGTCAGCTTCCAGTGAAATGCCAGTCCCCTTCTGCTGCACCGTGGTTGGGGATGCCTGTTAGAACATCAGCCTGCAGCAAAGGGACAGGCTACATGGATATCTGAGGAATGTTTGGGCAGAGGGAGCTGCAGCAGAGTGGGGGCGGGGCTCAGGCAGAAGTGTGGTTGTACACTGGGACCAACCCTGAGGCTACTGTGGCTGGAGTGTGCAGAAGATTGGCAGTAGTAGGAGATGATGTGGAGGAGGAGACTGGGGAAGCTGTCTTACAGGCTACAGCATGGGAAATGGCTTACAGGGTAGGAATAGGAGCAGGGAGCTCACTTAGGAGATCATATGGACTAGGGCAAAAAGACACCCTCTAGCCTGGAGCAGGGATATGGCATGGGCTGATGCTATCATTGAGGGACGCCATGAGGGCAAGGTCCATGGCATTCAAGAGCTAGGCGTGGCCTGGGTGCTACTTTGTCCATGGATCCTCCGAATGCCCTTTCCATGGCATCCTCAACTCACAGGACTTTTAAAATCTCTTCTGCCATACTTGTTTAGTTCTCTTCTGTAGATTAGTGATTTATATCTATCTGTATCCTTCTTGCTGGGTTGTATGCCCATACAATTGAATGTACAAGGCCATATATTATTTATTTTTACATATGAGAGTTACTATTCATTTTCACTTGTGTGAATAATATTTGGCACATGGACCTATGATTACCAGCCTGAGGCCAACAGATCCCCTCAATTAGGATGTGTAGGTTAAAGCAAGTTTTTTTGTTTGTTTGTTTTTGTTTTTTTGTGAGACTGGGGTTTGAACTCAGGGCTTCATGCTTGCAAGGCAGGTGCTCTATCACTTGAGCCACACCTTCAGTCCATTTTTCTCTGGTTGTTTTGGAGATGGAGTCTTGCAAACTATTTGTCTGGGCTGGCCTTGAACCGCCATCTTGCCGATCTCAGCCTCGCAAGTAGCTAGGATTACAGGTGTGAGCCACCAGTGCCCAGCTAAACAAAGCTTTTAAAAGTAATTTTTACTCACATTCTAAGGTTTTTAACCTGGTTAGAAGCTCTAATCAGCAGTTTTAGATTTCTTGATTAAAAACCTAAATAAACTGATTATGTTTGGTAAATAATAAAGATACTCTTAAAAGTGGATGGACCAGGGTACCGTGTCCAGAAGACAGACTCCCCCTCACCTTCACAAAGACCAGCTCTGCCTCAAATTGTGATGGCCAGATTGAGGCTCTGGGCTCCAGTGTGTGTAGCTGCCACGTGGAGGCTGCTTTTGTCTGCACCAGAGACCAGTCTCCAGGATGTCCTAGTCCCTTTCCTTCCCCACCCCTGTATTTCTTTCTTGACCACAGACAGGTACTTATTTCTCCTTGGCAGCAGCCCCACTGACAATAGCTGTTTAAAGGCTTGGCCCCTTGAGGGCAGCATAGAGCCAAACACCTCTCCCACCAGACTGTGGGGAAGGCCTATGGCCTACAGGCAACTCTCCTGGCTGGGGCAGGTGGATCCGGATTCCCGTCAGGCACAGTCTTCCAAATGAAGTGATGTGATGTATGTAAAGCATCTGGCACACTGCCGGACAGGTCGACCAGGAGAGCCTGAGCTGAGTCCTGCCCAGGGCCCTGCTTACATTTTTGTTCCCAACTCCTTTACACAGGCCCTACTGCATGGCACCTGTCTGTACTGCACACCATACCTCCCTGGCACTGCTTAGGTGACTCCCCTTGGCCCTGTCTTGGGCCTCTGAATCTTCCTGTTGTCCTCCAAGAGCCCACTCTGCAGTTACTCCTTCCTAGAAGCCTGGCTATGCCGCCTGTCTCTACCTCCATTCCAGACTCAGCAGCCCTGCCTGTCCACTAGTTGTGTGGGTCTTTCTCTCCACTGCTTTAAAATGGAGAGGGCGGCTGCTTTGACAGGAGCGCCTCCTGGATTTAACTCCCAGCCTAAGTCCTCAGGTTGCTTCAGCTTGCTCACCCTCACTTGCTCTCCTGTGGCTTGGAGACAGTGTTAGCCTCTATGCCCAGCCAGTGTGAGGTCTGGGGTTATGACTGGAGGGAGGGTTGCTCACATCTGACTGGCGTTCTCTCTCACAGGCCACCTACATCTACATGAAGGCCGCCTATCTCAGCATGTTTGGGAAGGAGGACTACAAGCCATTCGGGGATGATGAAGTGGAGTTATTTAGGTGGGCCATACTCTTGTGCTTCTGCCATAGGCCCCACAGCAGACAGACCAGCCAGGCTCTTCCCGTGGCTACCACAGCTGCCTGAGCTAGAGGCACCAGGATGGGTGGTCATGCCCCTTGCTCTGAACTCTGTCCTGCCCCAGGAGCACTCCTGTGCCCACCATCCCATCCGGTCACCACTTCATGCTGCTGTTGGTTAGGACCTTTTGTTTTTGTTTTTTTCTTGTTGGCAGTACTAGGGTTTGAACTCAGGTCTTCATGAGACCTGAGTCTCATGAAGAGAGACAGGTACTGTACTGCTTAAGCCAACCCCCAGCAGTCAGGGTCCTTTGAATATGCTCTGAGGTTTCCTTGTAGCACTCAGCCTCTTTCATCTGTCAGTAGGATACTGAGGTCCAGAGGTGGTAAGTCCTTCCATTCAGCTAAGTCAACCTGATGCACTCAGAGAAGCACAGAAGAGAGCCCAAGAGCTGAAATCGAGCTGACAGGATTAAATCCAGCCTTGCATTTCTTAGCTGTTTCAGTTTGGACAATCTCAGCGTCTATAAGATGGGAGTAACAACTGCCACCCTGCAGGGTTGTTTTGCAACAACTAATTAATGTATTTGAAGAACCTGGCATAGGACCTGGGACTTCCTGAGCTGACTGCCAAGTGTCGCTCTTTTCATTCTTCTCTGTTCCACCTGTCTATCTCCTGTGTAGAAAAGGTTGTTAGAGGAGAGCCTCCTCACCGTGGCAGACCGAGGATGGAGCCTAGAACCTTCCCAGGTCATGGTGGGGTTGGTGGGTCCCAATTAGCAGACCTGATAGTGGGTACCATATGAACTTCCTGGGCTACTGCTGTCACAATAGTAGGGTGTTAATCATTGGTGGAGAGCCTGCTACTACAGTGAACTCCATGCCCTGGCTCTTCCAGAAAGCTTGTGAAACGTGGCGTCATAATCTACACTTTAGAGATAAGGAAACTGAGATCCAGAGAGGCTCCAGGGTGAATAAGCAGGCAAGAAACTTGGGATGGCTTCACCTCTATGTCCAGCTGTTTCCTGAGCCTATACACCTCTGGCTTGAGGTCACAGTCTCACCTGGTGACTGTGGCAGGAATTGGAGGGTAGACTGGAGCCCATGGGTGAGGGATGTGCTTAACTGCATGCTGCATTTTATTCTGCCTTTGGAAACAGCTGAAGAGTCATAACTCAGCAGGCTGGAGTTAATTAAGGGTCTGAGCTGTTCTCTCTGGATAGGTCCCACCCTTTCTCCGGGTGTTGTCAAACTAGGATTAGCCCTCCCAGGAAGGGATCTGGGAGTGAGGAGAGATAACCAGGAGGCAGGACTGACCTTGCTGTGTCTGAGTACATTCTCACCTCTGACAGCTGTGAAGCCCCTTGCCTGAAGCCCCTTGCCTGTCAAAGGCAGTGGCCAGGTTTTGTTGCAGGGCCTGCGAAATGAGATCAGAGCTAAAAACTGTTTCAGACCTGGAAGGTTCTTTGGAGTTCAGTATTCTGAGTTGGCTGGGGGTCCTCAGTCCTCTCTCTTTCTTTATCCCTCTCTCTCGCTCTTCCCTTACCCCACCCCCCAACCCCAGGATTGAACCCGAAGATTATTGAACCTGGGGCCTCATGCTGCTAGACTAGGAAGGTGCTCTACCACTGAGCTACATTACCTCCTTTCCCTTCCTCTCTTTCCCAGAGCCGTGCCAAGCCTGAAACTCAAGATTGCTGGGAAATCTCTACCCACGGAGAAGTTTGCCATCCGGAAGTCTAGGCGCTACCTCTCCCCCAACCCTGTCTCGTTGCCAATCCCCGCTCTGGTGAGTAGGAACATCTGGAGTGGCCCTGCCCTTGACTTTGGGATTGTAGGGTTAGAAGAGAGACACTGCCAGCAGGAAGTAGATGGGAGAGAAAGGCCTGGAGAGGATTTCACAATTCAGCCAGAGCTGGGAGGAGGAGCACAGATGAGCTGGCCCAGACCTTTTCCTCTGAAGTGCTGGGCCAGGGAGACAGGCCACAAGGCAGGAGGAGGGACTCTCCTAGACAGGCCACATCCTGGGCCCCAGGCACAGACGTAGTCACCTGGCAGTCTGTGTTCCCAGACTGTCGGTTCCAGTTTTGTCACATGATTGTAATTGTTATTTACACAGCCAACCTTTTCCGGGGCTGGGATTTTAGCCCATGACATGTTAAGGCGTAAAAGATCAATAGAAACATGACCTAATCTGTGCAGTTTGCACAGCCAGTGAGTTCAAAATATAAACCGAGTAGTCTGGCTCCAAAGACTATGTCCAGAGTCACTGTTACAATGCTAATTCCATGCATGATTTGAGCAGGCATCAGAGAAGCTTCCAGTTTGCTAAAAGTCAGTATGTTACCTGACCAGTGAGGCAGCTAGAAAAACAGGAGTCCTACTTCAGACTTGTTTTTTGGTCCTAGCTCTACTGTTCTCTGAGTGACCTTAGGTGGGCTCCCTCTGCCCTCAATGTAAAGTGAGTATAGTGATATGTACCTTACCAATGTCATAGAGCAGTTATGAGAATCAACTGATAAAATCTGTTAAATCCTTCATAAATTGAAAAGTTCAACATTTATGCAGAATACTATTTAGAGCTTATATCCTGAATACCTAAATGAGTTTTAAAATATTTTACAGCTTGTACAGTACAGCTATCAAATTGGGAAGGGGGATCTCTAGGAAGGGCAGAAGCAACTAGCAAAAAACTTTAGGGGAGAATTTCCAAAATTTAGATGAGTATTCCCCAAATATTATTTATGCAGAAAATTATTTCTGTGATTAAATACTTGGGAAAGACAGGCCTAAACCAAGTTTATATACTGTTGGTTTTCTTGGGGCCTTTATGATAATCTGCATGGTGAGTCTCCAGGAAAAAGCTTAGGATGTGATTTTTTTTTTTCCCAACTTATTTGGGCATAGGAACCTCCCTCACCCTGCCCCCATCACCTTTTTAATGGAACATTTGCTAATTTGGGACCTCAGAACAATTTGAGAAATACTGGTTCAAACTTAAATACCCTTCCTAGAACATAATAACAAGAACCACCACAATAATGTCTTTCTGGAACTTTATGCAAATCATGTTTACATCTATTACATAGTTTGGTCATTTAGGAAATGCTAACCTAACAGTTACTGGGAATGAAAATTTAATATTTTGGCAATCAAGGCAGGAAAAAAAAAGAAAGGAATCAGAATGTGCTTTACAGTTTTTATGATGGTAATTTAATTCTAAAGGAAATGGAAAAGTATTGTCTTATTGAGCTCCTTGCTTTGGGGTGGCATGGGAGAGAAGGTGATAGTCTTTGATAGTCACTTAAGTGAATCATAGTTCCTTCAATATAGGTGGAAGCCCTGCTGGCTAGAGCAGGGAGGACTTCTTGGGGAGTGTGTGGGGCACAGGAAGAGTTTGGACAGAGGTTGAAAGAGGGCTTAATAGTGCCCAGGAAAGCCACAAGTAGAAAAGTAATGGAAGAATATTGGCAGTTGTGAGAATAGTGTGGATATTGGGCCACATTAAACCCTCACTGGGGTAGTAAGTAGTAAGGCTCCCTCTATAATGTCCTCAAGCCCATAGCTTCATAGGTTGTGCTGAGACTTGTAATGGAAGATTGGGATAGAAAGGCCTTTAGAGACCCTCTGATCTGAGCTGCCTGTTTTATAGATGGGAAAACTGAGGCCCTGTCGGGGTAGAAACCTAGAAACCTAGGTGTGATTTGCCCCACTTCTGCCCTCAGGAAATGATGTACATCTGGAATGGTTACGCTGTGATTGGGAAGCAGCCGGAACTCACGGATGGGATGCTTGAGGTTATCATCAAGGCTGAAGAGATGCTGGCAAAGGGCCCAGGTGACTACACTCAGGCCCTTGAACCTGCCAGGCTAGGTCAGGTCTTTAGGAGTTGAAGGCTCTCTCTGCCAAAAATGCCTTTCCTTACTTAGTTACCCTGGTAACTGTCTGTCTTTTTACACCTGACCTTCAGTATTAGTTCCTCCAAGCAGGTGTGTCCCTTTGTCAAGGCCCTCTGTGGGCTCCTCCGGCCCTTGGGCTCCCTTCAGTCACTTCTAGCTCACTACGATCATTATCTCAGTATCTGCTGTCCTTCTCAGTAGTGAGCTCCAAGGACAGGGACCATGTTTGGTTCACCTGTGTCCTGGGTTCTGCAGAGTAGGGGATCCCTGAGTAACTGATGCAGAAATGAGCAAGCCTGCCTTCTTCCCTCACACCCCTGTTCTCAGAGAATGAGTACTCAGTGGATGACGAGTGCTTGGTGAAGCTGTTGAAAGGCCTGTGCCTCAAATACCTGGGCCGGGTCCAGGAGGCTGAGGAGAATTTCAGGAGCATCTGTGCCAAGTAAGTGTCTGTGGCAGGAAACTGGGCCTGTGTTACCTGGGAAGAATTCTTGGTGCTTCTCCATCCCCACACCCGCTGACTCTAGCCAGTCATACTCACCACACATGTACTCCTATCTACCCCATGCCAGGACCTGTGTTTAGCATAGATAATTTAGAACCAGTGCCCCAGGGCTGCCAAATTGCCAGAGGACTTACTGGATCCCATACGTTTCTAGTGAACAGCACCCCCTGGGGTCTGCAGTTCAGTGATTCGGCCTTTGAAGGTGGGGAGTGCACAGGTCAGACTTGGGCAGCCCAGCCTCAGCCACTCAGGAAGCAGAGGGAACAGGTGCCCAGAGAATCTAAACATAATGAGCGTACCAGGAAAGCCTCTCCAGAGCCAACACTTAAACTGGGAAGTTTATCAGCAAAGGTGAAAGTTTTGTTTTTCTGGTGTGTGTGTGTATGTGAGAGAGAGAGAGAGAGAGAGAGAGAGAGAGAGATAGAGAGAGAGAGAATGTTCTGGAGCTCTACCACTCGAACCACAATCCCAGTCCTTTTTGCTTTAGCTGTTTTTCTTACAGGTTCTTGTGTTTTTGCCCAGTATAACCTGGATTGCAATCTTCCTATTTATACCTCCCATATAGCTGAGATGCCAGGCATGTGCTACTGTGCCCAGCTTTATTGACATGGGGTCTTGCAAACTTTTGCCCAGGCTGGCCTCAAGCCTTGATCCTCTCGATCTCTGCCTCCCATGTAGCTGGGATACAAGTCTGAGCCACCATGCCTAGCAAGGGATAACGTTTTAAGTGGAATAGGTACAGCATGTGTAAATGTCTAGACACAGGACAGACACCTGAGAGTGGGATGAGGTCCTTCCCTGCCTGGATGAAGCTACAGGAAGGGCTGAAGATGAAATAAGGAGGGCTAGGCTGAGAAGGACCTAGATATTTTGTTCACAAGGCTAAACTTTGTCCTGCAGACGAGAGAGTCAGAAGGGGTACTGGGCAGGGCAGACTTAGCTTTAAAAGTATGTCTCTGGGGCAGCATGGAATGTGGGTCAGAGCAGGCTGGATGGGAGGCAGGAGGCTCCTGAGTGTAACAGGCTGTTCAAGCTAGAGAAAAGGGCTGCAACTGAGATGGGGGGTGGACTAAGGACATGACCCCAGTGCAAGTTGGAATTCATATCAGGAAATCCTCATATGAAGTTCTAGGAAAGCTACCAAGAAGGACCTAAAGGACGTCTCAAGGCCAAAACCTGTGAGCCATGTCCTCCTCTGTTCTGCAGTGAAAAGAAGATTAAATATGACCACTACTTGATCCCAAATGCCCTACTGGAGCTGGCTTTGCTGTTTATGGAGCAAGGCAGAAACGATGAGGCCATTAAACTTCTGGAATCAGCCAAGTAAGACTTGGGTAACCTTCATCTGGCTGTGGGCAGAGAAGCCCATGCTGGCAAGGGCAGCATGGCAGTCCAGAGGCCACGCCAGTGTCCGTGGACCTCAGCTCTGACCTGCCATAGGAAAGCTTCTTCCTCAATTTACAAATAAGCAACAGGAATCCCAGAGACATCATGGGTTGCCAAGGTTCAGACCACAAGCCAGCTGCAGGCTTGTGTGAAGACCTAGGTTTTGTGCCTTCCAGTCCAGGGATCTCTCCTGAAACCATCCCTTTAAGCTTTTTTTTTTTTTCCATAGTCCCAATGGGACTACATGTGGTTCCAGAAGGCATGATGTGGGGAGGGGCAGGGATTTAAATCTCTAAAAACCTTCGTTGGATAGAGGTGTGTGGTGTGGGGTAGCTCACACAGCTCAAACAAAACAAATGTGTCTAATTCTCTGTTCACTTTCAGGCAAAACTACAAGAATTACTCCATGGAGTCAAGAACACATTTTCGAATCCAGGCAGCCACACTCCAAGCCAAGTCTTCCTTAGAGAATGGCAACAGATCCATAGTCTCATCAGTGTCCTTATAGCTTTGTGCAGCACTCCCAGACTGGAAGACAAACAGAGACAGCAGGACAGAGCTCCTAGAAACATTTCAAAAGAACCCCCCCTGCCCTGCCCTTTGGGGTCCACCGGCGCTCCAGTGGGAAGAATATCTGTGCAGAAGCAAAGCTGGCATTTTCACCAGTGTCCATGGGTCTTTGCCAAGGACAGAGCAGGTGGAGCCCTCTGCCTGTCCTATCACACATACGGGTACTTGTTTTTCACTGTGCTGTTTAAGACAATGTATGAACAGTTTTTCCTTAGAAATACATTGATGGGACTAACAACTAACCACCTATAAATCCTTCTTTTCACCCATATGGATCTAGAGGAAAATCTCTCTCTAGGATGCCAAAGGCCAAACTGCTTTTCAAATCTGAAGGCCCAAGCTTCTGAGTGTGGAAGGACCTTCCTTTAAGAGGAACTGGGGATATTCCCGGGTGTGTGGCTTTAGCTTCGAAGCTCCTGGGAGTTGGGCACAGAGGTCACATACAGACACCCACAACCTTACCACTCCTTATAGTTCATTTCCTTTGTTACTTTCTTTTTTTTTTTTTAACTGGGTTTGAACTCAGGGCTTCATGCTACTTTTGTTACTTTCAATGTAAAAATCAAGCGTTTTTAGTCAGACAAAATTTGAGCCCATCTGTAAAAAAATCAGTCAACTGTAGGCAATGGGGATGCCAAGGCCTGACAAGAGGAGCTGTGTGGTCTTAGTGTGCCAAAGCCACTTAAGAGGCATGGGAGAGAAAGTTCTCAGAACCCAGTCTGCATCCTTGCTGTATGCCAAATTGAAACCAACAGGAATAATTTATGAAAAAAATCTTCCATACTTTACTCCAAGATACATTTATTTACTGACAGCATTTTTTCTTAGAAATAAACGGTGGTTGTTGTCCTGTTATGTTTCAAGATATTTCAGTTAAGAGAAACGAGAAGTGGCACAGTACCTGCCTACCAAGCACGAGGCCAAGTTCAAACCTCAGTACTGCCAGTGATAGAGAAAGAGAGAGGCTTAATAAAATCTATACACAAGAGATCATGCAACATCTATTTCAATAAAATATGTGTTGCTTGAATTCTTGGGCAGAGCAGAAAATCTTGATCCTAAGCCACATGGCCTGTGTATGTTTTATTTAGGTATGTTTTTAAAAAATTTAAAAAGTTACCAACATTTTAAAATGGAATTTCACAAATGAATTTGATTTCTGGCTGCTGAGTAGCAAAGAGAGATCTGGCAAGATTGAGCCTCAATTCCCATAAAACAACAATCAGCTAGAAGTAAACAGAAGCTACTTTAAACACTTCAATTACCTTTCTAGCCTAACAGCATCTGCATTTGCAGCCTCTGGGACTGTCAAAGTGAGAACACCAAGTTCTACCATTCACATTTTAATGCCAGCAGCACACTTCAATGTAACCATTTCCCTGGAGGGAAAACTACATACACAATAAAAATAATCATCTGCAAAAAATGTCAGTCCCTGAATGCATGAATGTGATTTCTATAAGCAGAACCATTGGCAGCTAGTCCAGTTTTCCAACATTGCTGGATTTAGCAAACACTTTTGAGCATCTGCCAGGGGTTGTGTTAATATAGAAGATACATAACCAATGCACCTCCTATGAGTGATAATGAAGTCGTGGGTTTTAGGTAAAGTGTATTCTAGGAAAAAAAATGAAACAAATAAAAACCCTTTGTCCAAGATCTTTTGTACTGGGTGCTGTCAGAGTAGAAATGCTATGAAAAAAATTTCCGATTTTGACATAATTAGACAAAAGAATGATTACCACAGACAGCAAGTCTGTGGCAAGCTCACTATTCTCCAAAGCCTGGATGCTGGAAGACCAACGTGAGGCTTTTGGGGGAGGCCAGGCTGTTGAATGAGGGTAGGCGCTTGTGGCTTCCCCACAGGAGGAAGACTGCCTACTGCTGTGCCAAGTAACACTGCTCTCAGGATACGTAACGTATGATTTGCAAAATTGCAGTTTAAAAAAAAAAAACAAAAACAAACTTTATCTCAACATTCATTTCAGGTACTGTTGCTTTTATTTTAAAATTTTGTCAGGATGGTTTCCTTGCCAACATTTGCTGCTAATTTCTTGAGGACTTCATTAGCATGTTTACCTCTGCTGCCCTGGTTGCAGGCTGGCTGATAAGACAAACTGGTGGGGTCTGACTCCGGTTTCCTACCTGCAGCTTCTAAGATAGGCTACCAAAAACATTTACGTGAAAGAGTAAAAAACGTTAGGTCTTTTAACAAAATCATATCCTTATGCAGGGGCCTTCAAAGGTGAAAAACCTATCCTGGGCTTTCTCAGTGTCTTCTTAGAGTCATTTTTGGTCATTCCTCCTCTAATGTTACAGACCTTCCCAGCACCTCTGCTCTGGAAAGGCAGCTGATGGGAGAGTTCTAGCATGGAAACAGGGAGGCCTAAACTCTAGTCCCAATTTACTGATTTTTCAAAGTGATCTTGGAGAAATCACTGGCCCTCTAAAAATAAGCAACTTAGGCTAGACAAAGGTTCTTTCCTGTTCCTTATACTTCTGATCCTAACTCTGGCCAAGTCACTTTCTTGGTTTTCATCTGAAGAATGAGACAACAGATAACACTTCCCAACTTTTCTGCTGGGTTCTCAAGCATTTCACACAGAATAACAGGCTCCTTAAATGAGAGTGGTATGAGGGCGAGGAGAGGGGCTCCAGGGTCACTAGGACAACCACAGTAAGTAATCCTCATTTAGAAAGTCAAAATCCTGTGCCACAAGAATGAACTCAGTTGTCAGGGAAGTAGCAATTGTGTAACATGATCTGAGCAGGCCCTTGGCAACTGTCTGCCTCAGACTCCCACTGGTCATAGGCTCTCAGCCTGGCAGGGTGGCTTGCCAGTGGGCTGGTCGGTATCACCTCTCCCACATGTTGGCTTGCTTCCCTACCTTCTTATCTCAGTCAGAATGGGAGTGTTTCCAAGAAATTTATCGTCATTCACAGCAAAAAGCTACAACTTGACATCGAAGCTAGGCCCCTAAAAGGCCAACCTCAACCTAAGACTTGGCTGGGGTCCAAATGGTAAGATTCCCAGCATATGAAGAGTGGCACCAGGAGCTTTTTAGAAAGTCCTAGCCTGCTGAGAACTAGATCATTTAACAAAGGAATCAAATCTTTTCTCTGGAATTACTCCCAAGTTTGTTTATTCTAAGATGGCAAGTCAACAACAATCTTCTTTTTTACTTCAAATGTACAATTCTTTCAAGAACTGTCACCAGGTGTCCTTACCACCATCAAGTAAGAAATGAAAAGTGCCTGGATTCCACACAGCCAACGGGAATATCTAATGCCTGCGCTCAAATGCAGGTTAGAAAGTGCCTTTCTGCTTGGGTTTGCACAACTCTGAAATCTGGTGCACAGTTCATTATTGACCAGCAGTTTAAGCCCAAAAACAAGTTATTTTATTTGGCAGCTTGAAAAATCTATTTCTGTGTGAGGAATCTATGAATTGCTTCCACTGCATAAAGTCAGTTATCAAGTGAGAAAGTAGAGCTCTTTGGGAAATTACCAAAAGACTCCATAACTGCTAGCTGTTGACATCTAAGTTTAATCAGATACATCAATGCTAATACCTCACAAATGACTGAGTTAGGCTCTTTTCCTTCACATTAAAACACTTCAGAAAATCAGACATCATATGCTTGGGGATCGGGGAGTAACACTAACTACTCACTACAGCAAGCCCACTTTATTTGTGGGTTTATTACATGCGGTTTTGACTGTGATCAAAAGTAAACATCTAAAGAAATTTCAACAAAAAATTTTAAATTCTTATGTGTGTATCACACAGCTCTGTTGTGTTTAAATTGTACAATCTGCTGTTTCCCTGCCTTTAATTTTGTAAAAATATGCCTCTCAAAAAGTAAATGCTACCCCAAAAGCAAGGTAAAAGTTAATGTGCTTAATTTAGGTGCCAAAGTAAAAATTTTAAGATGTGTTCAAAGGTTTTTTTTTTTAACTGTTTTTAGCCAAAGTTGGGCAGCATTCTGGGAGAAATGGTTCAGGCCATCTATACAGTACAGCACTGGACTCTGCATGAAGGAAAAGGTATAACCTAATACCCACTGGAAAAGAAGAGTCAGTCACCTGCTCCAGAGACAGGAGGTAAAGCCTGCATAGATGTAAACTCAAGCCTGAACTGATGCTTGAGGGGTAGCAAACTACATTCTGGAGGAAGTTTGCTGTAAGACAGTAAGAGGTAGGTCTTGCCAGCAGCAGGTCAAAGGGAAGATGTCAGTGGATGTGGTTTAAGATACTAGTCAGAAGCTGCCTGCCCACTCAAAGAGAGATTTTCTTTGTCCTCCTTGCCACCTCCAAACTCTTGTTTATGAGATCCTTATATTCTGGTGGAAACATCTTTGGAATGATAGCTCCCTCTCCATCAGAAATGATCATTTCAGACTTCTTAGAACCTCTCTTTATTCCATTTTCTTGAGTATCTACTATCCTTCTCTTGTGCGGCTTATTCTGATAGGGGAGAGATAAGTAAATAAAGAATAAAGTCATGGAGTAAATAAAAAAGATATGTTTAGTCTAGAGGATAAGAAGCCAGCTATCTGAACAATGTGGGGCAGAGAGCTGCAGGGCAGAAATGATACTGCAAAAAGACTAGTAATAAACTTGCCATTTAGAAGGCACAAAAAGATGGTCCAAGAGGCTAGATAATATAGTCCTATGAATTAAATAGGCAGAAAGCCAACTCATCCTTGTTATGGAGCTTGAATTTGCAGCACAATGAGGAGCTATTAAAGTTTTAAGCTGGGGAATAACATTACCCAAAACTACTCAACTTAAAATTATTTTAGCTGCTATGAGAAATAATAGATTATACAGGATTAAATATGGAACTTCTTAGTTTTCACCACCAATTGCTTCTGGCTTGTCTGAATTGCTAACAAAAATACTGCATCTCACTTCACCAGCTACTAGATTTAGGAAAAAAGGAGAATGCTTTCAATATGATAATCAGTGAATTGGCACTTCCATGTTCTTTGCTCTTCACACGAAGTCAGAAATTCAGCTTACCAAAACCTATAACCATGAACAATATTTCTTTAAAGGTACCTTCAAAGCCATTAACTCAAGGTTTAAGAATCATCAGAGTAGGCCTGAAAATGCCTGTGATTATTCTCCTTCATGTCATTACAGATAGTAATCATCATTATATGCAAGGGCCAAATGACCAAATGGTGTATGAAAAACTACTGCGCTGTAAAATTGTAGCTTACTGTCTGTTTGCTGA